CCCCCCCCCCCCGGTGGGGGCAGTGGGGGGGGGGGGGAGAGTGTGCGGCTTTGGCTGGCACACGCAGGGCAGGCGAGGGGCTGCCCCCCTTTCTTTGCTTTACCACAGTGCGCGCTGCCCGGCCGGCCCTCCAGGCCCTAACGTCGGAGCCTGGCACTGGTGATGGGCATTGCCAGCAAATGACAGACGCCTGTTCTGTGCTCTCTGGGCACTCAGGCCTGCAGTCTCCAGGGCCTGGCTGCGGGCACCGTGCAGGAGGAAGCTCTGGTGGCAGGACTTCGAGATAGGAGCCCTAGTGTCGCCCTTGAGTAGGCCTTCCCCCCACCCACAGGGGACTTCCTGTCTGTTCCCCAGGGGACCCTGTGCCCCACCTCTTTAGTCCCCTGGAGAGCACTGCTCTGGGAGAACACACAGCCCTGCTGCTTGGGTAGTGTTGTCACTGGAGTGGGAGGGGCAGGCATCCTCTCCTGTTCCCCCTGAGGGAAGAGCAAGGGATTTGGCTGCTGCAGGTCACTCCTCTGGCCACAGGGCTCAAGTGGGGTGGACGGACACTGGGGTGACACTGCAGCAACCCCAGCCCAGAATGCAGGCCAAGGGCATTGCATCAGCCCAGAGCTGAAGTGCAGGCTGGCATCTCAGGAGAGCTGCAAGGCCTCTCCCTTGTGCCCTGCTAGGGAGGGTCCGCGTCTCTGCACGCCTTGGAATTCCAGAAGCTGCTCTGCACTTCCTACTGAGGAACCTGTTTGCTTGTGGGGTGTGCGTGGGGCTGGGTGTGGGGAGGATGGCCATATAGCTGGCTGTATGTGTTCAGCAAGCCCTGAGGAGGGTGCATCTATACCCGCATGGGGCTTGCCACCCAGTCCAGCCAGCTGGCAGGTGCACCAGTGTCAGGGGTGTGGTGGCAGGAGGGAGGTCCTAGGCTTCTCCCTGCAAGCCCCAGGCTTGGGGCAGGAGCTTCCCAGAAGAGGGGCACTCTATGGACTGAGACTAGAATGACAGGTCTGAGCCCACTGTGCCCATAGGGAGAGATGCCCGTGATTAGGGTTGATTCTTTGAAGAGCAGGACCCTGCAGGGGACTTGAAGGCTGAGTGGCAAGTGGGGCATAGTGACTCTCAGGATGAACGGGTTGGGGGAAGGGATGCAGACAAAGCTGCTCTGTGCTCCTCCCGTAGGGGAGGTGCTGCTGAGAGCAGCCTCCTGAAGGCCACCCACCTGGCCTGCTCTGCTGGCCCCATCCGCACCCTCTTCCTCCTTGCTTCCGCCTCGTGGCAAGGGTGAGCTCTTGGTGTCAGGGCTGGGCCCAGATGGTGGTTTGGGGCTCAGTGAGGAGGCCTTTGGAGGAGTAGGTGGGGGGAGGAGCCACAACTCAGGGAGGGTGTATGGGGAGCTGGCCTGGGCCTGTCAAGGGTGGCCCTTGGAGGTGTCATTGTAGAGGGACTCTGGGGCTTCATCTTGGTGGCAGCACATAGGTGTGTAGGTAGGTGACACTGGCACCACCAAACACCTGCCCCCTGCCTGCCGCCTAGCTTCTGCAGGGTGTCAGGCTGAGGGGGAGGGGAGCCGGAAGCTGAGGTCTGGTGAGTCAGAGCAGCTCCTCCCCGCCCAGCACCTCAGCCCAGCACCTCAACTCCTAGCAGCCTGCCCTGCCGATATTCCTGGCTTGGCCTCCAGGGCTGCTGAGGGGCCTGCGGCTTCCTGTTGTTGAGCAGGGCCATCCACCTCGGGACTGCGGGTGCTGGGGGGCCCACTTGTGCGGGTGGACAGGCCCCTGGGTTGTGTGCTGCCGTGGCCTGGGACCTGGGCAGGGTCTGTGGGAGCCTTCTGTGGTGCCTTTCCCCCATCTGCCGCTTCCATGGGCTGTGCAGCAGGGCCCAGGGTCTGCACAGAGGGTGGGAGTCCTCTGCCCTGGGGCCTGTATGGGAGGCGAGGGCCGTCGTCTTTTCTGCTGTATTCTGCTTCCTCTGCAGGAACGGCGTCCTGAGGGTCCCCACCATGACTTTTTCCCGGTGTGGTTGTGTAGGGCTGAGCTGCCGGCAGGGCCTCTGCCCACTGGTGTGGACCGGACTGGGAGCAGTGCACAGCCATGGTAGCTGAGGACACTGGAGGGGCTCCGAGGAGTGGAAGGGGTCTCTGGGCCTCCCGCACTCCCTCAGTGCCTCCTCCTGGCCCAGGGGACCTGGGCTGTGCTCAGTGCACATCGTCTGTGGCCTGTGTGCCTGTGCTTCACACCCTCCTCTGAGAGCTGCTGGGCTCCAGCATTTGGGAGGCTGCACGGGCCCCCTTCAGGGAGGTCCTGAGACCACCTCTTCATGTGATCTGCTCTACTGCTACCCTGTAGGCCCTGCTGGCTGTGAGGATGGCCTTATGGACAACTTGCTGGCCCACCTTTTTTTTTAAAGAATTATTTGTTTATTTAATTCCATTTGTTATTACAATAATTATTATTTTAATTTGACCAGAGAGAGAGACAGAGAGAGAGAAAGGGAAAAACGAGAAAACAAGTTGCCAAGTCCAGGACTCAAGCCATGATCAGCCATGTAGGAATCCAGCACCCTTAACCGTCACGCCACCTGCTGGCCCGCTGACCCATCTTGTGGGACCTGTGCTGGGGCCTGCCTCTGAGGTGCCCAGGACGGTAGTAGTTAGGGGCTATGGACATAAGTGGCCTTCCCCAGCACAGCTCCCAGTGTAGGCCCAGGCAGGTGCTAGGTCTCTGGGGTGCCCAGATATGTCCTGTGCTCGCTGATTGACAGGCTGGGGAGTTACGGGGCTGAGGGCCGCCGGTGGGGGATTGGTTGTGGAAGGTAATCTGGAGCATCTGCCCTCAGGGCAGGGCCCTGTGCTGTGGCAGACGGGAGGGTGCTAGTGTAGGGTTGGCATGGGGACAGGGCCTGGAAACACCAGGGGCTTCTTTCTCTGCCCTCTGGAGGCCTGGGATGTGCAGCTGTCCGGGGGCTTCTCCACACGGAACTATTTTTAGGAAGATGGTAGTTCTGGGAGCTGAGGCTAAGAGCCTGGGAGGGTGGGCCCTGGGTGCTATCTGGTGGGGTGGGGTGGCGGACGTGGAGTGACAGGCGCTTGACCCCACTCTCCTCCTCAGGGAGTGGGGAAGGCCAGGGCCACATCCTGCAGCGCTTCCCGGAGAGAGACTGGGAGGACAGCCCGTTCCCCCAGGGCATCGAGCTGGTGAGTGGGGTGCCAGGGGCCACACGGGCAGGGAGGCAGGCGGTATGGGCCCGGGGTGGAGAGGAGGCCTGCAGTGCCTCGCCCTTACCATGGAGGGTGCAGGGTGGCCCCTGCTGGCACGGTGGTTGGTGTACATGTCACTGTGCCCTGTTGTCACTTGCTCACACCAGTGGCCCCAGGTGGGAAGGCCAGAGGCTGTTGCTGCTCTCACTGGGAGGTGGGTGCTGCCCATGTGCACTGGAGCCCCCAGGCCTGGCAGTGCAAGTGCTAGGGCAGTGGGCAAGGTGCCAACTGCTGGGTCTCCCTGCAGTTCTGCCAGCCCAGCGGGTGGCAGCTGTGTGCCGAGAGGAACCCACCGACCTTCTTTGTGGCTGTCCTCACTGATATCAACTCTGAACGGCACTACTGTGCCTGTTTGACCTTCTGGGAGCCGGTGGAGCCCACACAGGTCAGCTCGGGACCCTGGGGTGCTGTGTGTGTGAGGGTGAGCCCCTGGGCCGTGACGAACTCCTCTTGCCTCTTGTGGGGTCTCCCATCATGGAGCTGGGTCCCTATGAGGCTGACCCGACTCACCTGGGTCCTCCTTGGGCTCAGGGGGCAAGCCTGAGGAATGTGGGGAGATCGGGTTCCTGTCTTCAGGGAGCGGCGGGCACTGACGAGGCCTTGGAGAGGGAGGAGGAGGCCGAAGAGAGAGGTCAGGTACAGCTGTCGCCCACAGCACTGGCCCCGCCTGGCCAGCTGTTTGCTCCAAAGACGCTGGTGCTGGTGTCACGACTGGACCACACAGAGGTGTTCAGGGTGAGGTGGGCAGCCAGGGTGGGAGAGGCCATGGTGCTCCGTGGCGCTCCGTGGTCTGTGCTGCCACTCCCCTTCTGGTCACTGCAGAACAGCCTGGGTCTCCTCTACACCATCCACGTGGAGGGCTTGAGCGTGTGTCTGGAGAACGTGATCGGGAACCTGCTGACGTGCATCGTCCCCTTGGCTGGGGGCTCACAGGTGGGACGTCACCACCACAGGACCTCCTGGCATGGGCACGGGGTGGGGCGGGGTAGGGCCTGGTGCTCAAAGGGTGAGTGGGCCCCGGGCTTGGATTCCCCATCCTGCATCCTGCTGCCGCCGTCACGGTCGTCTGTCCTGGCCTACCCGCTCACCTGGCTCTCACACCGGTGCTGTGTGCCCACACCCTTCAGTGTCTCTTCCTCTTGCTCCTGTGTGTGTGCGTCTCTGGACGTTGGCGTCAGCCTCTGTCTGCTTCCCGTTCTGTGTCCTCGTGTGCTGGGGGGGTCTAACCGTGTCTCTTTGCCGTCTGTCCTGTGCAGCTGGACTCTGTTGAGGAAGGAGCGGTATGGATTCTTTGTTTTTTTTTTTTTTTCCCACCCTGGCCCCGCCCCTGCCCCAGGTCAGAGGCAGCCACCCCTGCCCTAGTTTTCTCTGCAGCGCTGTGCGGCCACCCCAGCCAGCCTTACCTCGGGGTCTGTCAGTTCACCAGGGTCCACCTGGGGCCACAGAGCTCTGGGCTGAGTTGGGTCTGGCCAAGCTCTTGAAGTTTGATTGTGTTTATTCCTCAGAGAACCATCTCTTTGGGGGCTGGTGATCGGCAGGTCATCCAGACCCCGCTGGCCGACTCGTTGCCTGTCAGCCGCTGCAGCGTAGCTCTGCTCTTCCGCCAGCTGGGTGAGCTTGCCGCCCCTCCACACAGCTTCCTCCTGGGCTGGTGGTCAGAGGCGTGGGCCCTGGGCCTGGCTTGTCAGGCAAGCTTGCCCTCATCTTCCAGGCATCACCAATGTGCTGTCTTTGTTCTGCGCCGCCCTCACGGAGCACAAGGTCCTCTTCTTGTCCCGGAGCTACCAGCGGCTTGCGGATGCCTGCCGAGGCCTCCTGGCACTGCTGTTCCCTCTCAGATACAGGTGCCCCTTCACCTGCCCTCCCTGCCCACCCTGCCTGCAGGTGCTCTGGGACGCTGCCCCGGCTCACCGAGCACTCTGGCCTGCCGCAGCTTTACCTACGTGCCCATCCTGCCGGCACAGCTGCTGGAGGTCCTCAGCACGCCCACGCCCTTCATCATTGGGGTCAACGCCACCTTCCAGGCAGAGACCCAGGAGCTGGTAAGAGTCGTGTTTGTGTCTGCCCCGTTGTCCCAGCACGCCAGCCCCTGACCATTCACTCCCTTTGGTCCACAGCTGGACGTGATTATTGCTGACCTTGATGGAGGGACCGTGACTGTCCCTGAGTGTGTACACATTCCCCCTCTGCCGGAGCCACTGCAGAGTCAGACGCACAGTGTCCTGAGCATGGTGAGACAGAGCCACCGGGGAGCCAGATCCTCAGGGCCTTGGGGCGCCGGCTTGTCAGCAGAGGGCCGGAGCCCAGAGTGGCCATGCAGCTGCCCCTCTGCCTCTGCAGGTCCTGGATCCAGAGCTGGAGCTGGCTGACCTTGCCTTTCCCCCACCCACCACGTCCACCTCCTCCCTGAAGATGCAGGTAGGAGGCCACTCTAGGGTGGGGATGCCCTGTGCCCCCTCACCGGGGTCTGCTGTTGTGGATGGCCAGCTGACTACACCAGGCATGCTGTGGTCCTGTCTCCAGGCTGGCCTCGGGCTGCCGCATGTAGGCAGGAAGGAGCCTGTGGGAGAGGAGCTCAGGTAGTCAGGTGTGGTGGCCAACGGTAGGCACAGACCAGGCTGCAGGAGCCCTGTGCCCGACAACTTGACACAGCTCTAGAGCTCGCACTTAGCTGTGTGTGTAGCACGGTGGGGCAGGAGGAGGTGGGTGGAGGACCTGGGGGAGGCTCATGCCTGGCTTGGTGTGGGAGTGGAAGAAGCACCAGAGGGGTCTGCGTGCAACCTGGCACTCACCTATGCCCACCTGGCTCCAGGACAAGGAGCTGCGTGCCGTCTTCCTGCGGCTCTTTGCTCAGCTCCTGCAGGGCTACCGCTGGTGCCTGCACATCGTGCGCATCCACCCAGAGCCTGTCATCCGCTTCCACAAGGTGGGTCGCCCAGTGTGGTGCCGGATGGGGCTGGAGCGAGTGCCCGGTAGGCCCCCGAAGGGCTGACCTTCCTGTGCGCCCCATAGGCAGCCTTCCTGGGCCAGCGCGGGCTGGTGGAGGACGACTTCCTGATGAAGGTGCTGGAAGGCATGGCCTTCGCAGGCTTCGTGTCAGAGCGTGGGGTCCCCTACCGCTCCACAGACCTGTTTGATGAGGTACCCCCTACCGTATCCCAGCCAGCCTACCCACCTGCCTGTCCACGTGACCCTGCTCACCCTGCATCCTGACCCCCAGCTGGTGGCCCATGATGTCGCGCGGATGCGGGCGGATGAGAACTACCCCCAGCGTGTCCTGCGCCATGTCCAAGAACTGGCAGAGCAGCTCTACAAGAATGTACGGCAGGGGGCACGTGGGGAGGGCCTGTGCTCCTTGGTCCTGGCCCACTGGCTCATGCCTTCCATCCCCCAGGAGAACCCGTACCCAGCCGTGGCGATGCATAAGGTGCAGAGGCCAGGTGAGGCCAGCCACCTGCGGCGGGTGCCCCGGCCCTTCCCTCGGTTGGATGAGGGCACCGTGCAGTGGATCGTGGACCAGGCTGCGGCCAAGATGCAGGGCGCGCCCCCAGCCGTGAGGACTGAGAGGAGGACCACAGTGCCCTCGGGGCCACCCATGAGTGCGTGATGGGGAGGGGAGGTGGGCCCCGAGGGCAACCCAGGACTGGAGCAGGGCCAGGGGAACACGTCCTGTCTCACCAGCTGCCATCCTGGAGCGCAGCAGTGGGCTGCACATCAACAGTGCCCGCCGACTGGAGGTGGTACGCAGCTGCATCTCCTATGTGTTCGAGGGGAAGATGCTCGAGGCCAAGAAGGTGAGGTGCTCTGGGCAGAGCCTCCACCCGGGGCCAGAGGAGGGTTGGCCTACCAGGGGTACGGTGGGTGCTGAGCCTGGCCTGTGGCCTGCCGACCCGGGGCAGGGCAGGAGAGCAGGGCCTCTCCTCCTTGCTCTTAGCAGGTGACAGGTGAGCCTTCAGAGGAGGCTCAGCAAGGGGGTTGCTTCAACTCTCAGATACCAGAGGACCCCAGAGGTTTCCACCAATAAATTTCTTCTATATTCTTCCCCCAAAAAAAGCATAAAGCCATATGTGTTTGTTTTGTTTTTGTTTACTGTAGGGCCCTTGTGCTTGCTGGGGAGGGGGAGAGAGGGAGGGAGGGAGGGAGGAAAGGGGAGACAGAGAGAGAGAGGTATCTATCGCTCGCTCTTCCCTCCAGCGGGAATGGCCATGCCACAATTCCTTTTCTCTATTCTCTCGAAACTTCAGCCATACACATGCACACCCAGCGTGATTTTCCAAGCCCCCTAGTTTGGGACTTGAACTGTGGAGTCAACCCTGTGAGATGTAGCCACCTCAACCTCCACACCATCTGCTGGCCCCACCTTTTGTTTTTCTTTAGTTTATAGAAGTGGGTCCCACTTGTGTGCTGTGGTGTTAATACTCGTGGGGTCTTTCATGCACAGCAGCCAGTCCGAGGCGACCGTAGCATCTTTGCGGAGTTCCCAGTTGTTTTAGTGGCTCACGATAGCAAAAGAACAAGCTTGGAGCTCAGTGACCTGGCCTGTGTTGCTCAGGCTCAGGCTCTTGGACGCAGCCCAGGCCCTGACACAGAGTAGGCTTGCACATGGACGAGCACGCATGTCTCTGTCTTCGCAAGCTCCTACTTGTGAAGCTGCCGGGTCCACAGGAAGTTCTAGTATGTGCCGATCGGTGAGGCCCCATCATCTGAGCACACCTGAACCACAGGGCCTTGGGGGTCTCCTCTGCCTGGAACCAGGGCTTTGGCTCCGGAGTGCCTGTTGCCCTCCCATCCTGGTGCCTTATTCTCGAATATCAGCCTTGTCTCCCCTGGCCCCCAGCTGCTCCCAGCTGTGCTGAGGGCCCTGAAGGGGCGAGCTGCCCGCCGGTGCTTCACCCAGGAGCTGCACCTGCACGTGCAGCAGAACCGGGCAGTCCTGGACCACCAGCAGTTCGACTTCATCGTCCGCATGATGAACTGCTGCCTGCAGGTGAGGCCAGGCCTGTGATGCCAGCACTGCCATGTGGGATTAGGGACTCCTTGTCTCCCTCTGATGGGGGGGAGACCCTGGTCCCCTTGGGGCAGGGGACTCTTGTGTTGCTGGATGGGGAGTCCCTGATTAGCAGGGAGTGCTGGGGAAGAACTGTTGGAGGAGGATGCAGGGATCTGGGGTCCAAGGCAGTTGAGAGGTGGGGCCAGCAGTGAAGGTGACAGTGACAGTGCTGGGCACTGCTGGTCTGTGGTAGCCACAGGGATGGTGGGGGTGTGGTTGGAGGTGAGCAGTGAGGGGAGGGATGGTAGGGGTTCGAGGCGGGGGTGCTGGGGGAGAGCGTCCAGGCAGCTAGTGCTCTGCCTGCAGGACTGCACCTCTCTGGACGAGCATGGCACTGCAGCCGCCCTGCTGCCCCTGGTCACAGCTTTCTGCCGGGTAAGTGCTGGGGTGGCCCTGGCTTTCCTTCCCAGGCCCCTCCTGGCTGCATCCGATGACCCCCACCCGGCTTCTGCAGAAGCTGAGCCCAGGGGTGACCCAGTTTGCGTACAGCTGCGTGCAGGAGCACGTGGTGTGGAGCACGCCGCAGTTCTGGGAGGCCATGTTCTATGGAGACGTGCAGACCCACATCCGGGCCCTCTACCTGGAGCCTGGCGAAGAGCGAGCCCTCTCCCAGGTGCGCTGGCCTCCTTGGGCTTGGGGTGGGGCCACGGCTGGGGCGGCCCTGGCTCACGCCCATGGCGATGTGCAGGAGACTGGGGAGGCGCCTTCCCAGGAGGACGCGCCCTCTGCCCTGGATGTGGCCTCAGAGCAGCGGCGCCTGTGGCCGACCCTGAGCCGTGAGAAGCAGCAGGAGCTGGTGCAGAAGGAGGAGAGCACGGTGTTCAGCCAGGCCATCCACTACGCCAACCGCATGAGCTCACTCCTGCTGC